ATATTGGAAAAATATTATTTCCTTTATTTCACATGATTTATTTTTATCTTGAGTATAGATATCTTCCATATAAATAATCATTCAGTTTTTGAGAGCAGAAATTGCTGAAATTGTATTTTCTCTCCATTTGTTGTTTAATAAAATATCGGTTCATCTGTCGATTTTTTTTCTTTTATTTACTTTAAATCTGGTCCTTTTTTTTGTTTGGTGAGTGATCAATATTTCATATTGCTTCATTAATCTCTTCTAATTTTTTCACAACACGTGAGTTCAAATGGTTCCAACATAGTGCATAGAGACATCAAGTCGGGTGACATTATGCCCTACTTTGGGCTCCATTAAAATGATTTTTGGAGAATGTGTGGTTAAAAAAATAAAAAATTGAATTTATATGTAATATTATTTTATAAAAAATTGTGATTGAAAATGAGTTTGCTGAAACAAGAAATATGTTTGATACTCGAGGGCGGTTGAAGCTAGCGGATTTTAAATCAGCCGATTGGTGTGGGTTTTCGAGGATGGGACAACGAGATTAGGCAAAAAAAGAAGAAGGTAATGGAAAAAGTATATCTTTTTGGATTTAATTTAATTTTGGATGAGGCCAAACAAATAATGAAGCTTGGGATTATATAAAAGGGAGAAATTTAAAAGAGAGTAAAACACGAGACCTTGTGGTTAACGACCACACGCTCTAACCAACCGAGCCAATCCAGCCTTTGGTTTGCATTTGTAACAATATTTTGGATTCCTTTGGTATGATTTTTGATATCCAAAAGTTACTTTTGAACCTGTTTGACTAATTTTATGAAAGTGATTCTGAAAATTAGTTTTCAAACAAAAATTAACGTCACTTTCTCCAAAAACTCTTCTAATGATCGCAAAAGAAAAAGTCATATCAAATGGACCATTTATAATATACTAATTTATGTATAAGCACATTTTAAAAGTGGTACCGAAGAATTATGATGTTGGGCAAGGTCGCACGAATAATTATATTATAGTAAAATTTAGATAAGAAAGACTATTTATTGTGCAATTCAATTCTATCAAATGATTCGTACCAAACAAAATTCAACAAATAGATTAATATGGTTCAATGTATTTTCGATCGACAAGAAATTGAATCACGATATCAAAAATTGAGACAGGTCCATCGAGCTTCCTAATTTCCCTTTTATACTAAAAAACAAATTGTTCTATCCAGATTGCAACCTTAATAAAATCGAGCACATTCAATCCTTTCAATGTTAATATTGCATGCCTCAAAATCATTTGTATGTAGTCATGAGACCACTTTTACAAATCCCGACCAAAGCTTTTCAATTTCATATACTTTTTTTTAAAGTTGTTCGAGACAACAATATCGAGTTACACTAGAATATGGCATATTATTAGTGGACAATTTGCCGTGTATATTAAAATACCGACCAAAGTCGCTAGAAATACCGTCTAAAAGCACACACTTAAGTGCGGCCGACATGCCTATAATTTATGAAGCTAGGACTAATGGCACGAATTGATGTTAATCTTTGAACCGCTAAATCAATCAAATCAAGGCAGAAACTATTGAAAGTTGACACATCATAATCGATCAATTTGAATTGTCGCTAGAAGGCTATGTTGAAATTAATCCTAAAGTTTGATAGGAAAATGACATAATATAAAGTTAAATAGTGAAAGGTGACTAAAGGAGGAATATTCGATGGAAAAAATTGAGGATTACACGCATAATACGTCATATTGGATATAATCAATGGCTATATAGTGAAATTATTCATTTTTTTTGAAGGAGTAAGCGTCTTTATCACAAATCAAATTCGATGAAGGTTGGACTTGGACTTTCCATATGCGCTTTTAAAGGCGATTGAAACTTGTAGATTCTCCTGTCTCATGGTCTAAATTATGTTAATAAAGGATAGGAACAAGGAAGTTAAGCCCTTGTTTGGTTCCGATTAAAATCTGATTTTAATCGAAATCAAAGTCAAATACTTCGAGCATCGATTGTCCGTTTTGGTAGAATCACATAAAGTTTCGAGGGCAAGCATATTGTCTTTTCTCTCTGCATCACGTTAGTTAATCGATTATGAAAATTAATTTTTTTGCCTTTTTTTCTTTTATGGTACCTCTACGTGTCATGAATGTTCAATAATCGATTTTCTTCATAGAAGGGATAAAATTATTACTTACATTGATTTCTTTACACTCTTCCGAATACAACTGTTAATGAATTACTGTCACTCAATTTACATTTTAATCATGCAAACATTTATAAAAAAAAAATTTTCATGTAAAAAATATATTAATACTAAAAAAAGTCGTATAAAAAAAATTAAAAATAGTGGTCAATATGTAAAAAAATTGCAAAATATTAATGTGGTTCTAATTTTAGGGACCACTCCCAAAAAAAAAAAAAAGTTGCAGTATCCTTTATTCTCATAACGATTAGGTGGTCCTTTTTGCCTTCTTCCAATGCCCAAATTTTACTTTCCCTTCTAATTATTTTTATAGGTTATGAAACTATAACCCAATTTGCACATATAGAATAAATTTAGGAATAAATTTCATTAAATGGAAGAAAAAAATGATTATTTTTGGTTAAAACAAGGTTTTTTGGATAAGAAAAGCAAATAGCGGAGTCATTAAATAATTTAAGTTACTCTCGTCCATTTTCATGTTCTATCTGGAGTCAACTTGTCGATATTCAAATTAAGAATTTAATAACACGTTCGGTAAAAAGAAACAGATGGCACTAAATAAAAAAACGAACATGCACAACAACAAATAGGTTGTCTTAAAAGTATTTTTTTTTCTTTTGTGAAATGATAATATTATTCCTTAAGGTGAAGGAGACTTTGATGATACTGCCATCCCCTCATGAATACAAACAACTCCTTGGATTATCTTTTACTTTTGGGAATCATACAAACATTATCTCTTAGAATTTCTAGCATATTTTTGTTCTCCATTACTTTCATTCACTTTAATTTCCACGAGAAATAGTTACAAATAATAATGGCAGAGTACACATCAATTCAAAGGCATATGCTACAACCTTTCCAACATTAACCTACCGCTACTATTCCAAAACAACACCTCACCTTAAACCTTTAGGTTATTCGTGTTTTTGTTTAGGACCGGAGACAACTAAAGAATTGCAATAATTATGATTGTGGTAAGGCCACTATATCTATAATGACTCGATCAAAGTGTCCAAGCCATTATATCATATACACTTTCGATGTGGAGATTATACGTCATTTTACTCTTCACGAATTTTTGCAAAATATATATTTCTTGAGAGATTTAAGTTGAATTCTGATATCAATTCTCATAAATCAAAGGTTTTGATTTCAAAATGTGGGGACGCGAAAAAAATTTGTTAAAGATAATAGTGGACATTGTATATGAGTTAATGACTTGAATGCATCAATCTAAAAAATCCAGCTATGCTCCTTACCCACTCTCTGCATTAATGAAAGGACTCACTGACCCATGCTTTTGGTTGTTGAATGAATCTAAAAACTGGACACTAGATGGCATGTACCCCTCAAAAAAACAAGACCCAATGACCCACAATTTTTGTTATGCTTAGAAAATCATTTATAAACAACTCAAATTTAAAAATTTTAAGCTTATGGAAGCATGATACTCTTAAAGAAACTCAAAGGAAAAAGAGGTTAAGGACAAGGTACAACTACCCATTTAATCAGTTTCCAATAATTATCAACATTGCTTCCCTTAAAAGACAAGTAATATTTCAAGAAACTACTAACCTAAGGTTTGATTAGTTTACTTGGTAAAATTATGTTATCTTAGATTAACCTAATTGATGGCTTCATTCCTAAATTAAGCCCACCAAACATATTATAGGGTACAAAATCCTAGATTAATAATCCAAAAAAAAGGCTAGAAAGAGCATACATATGTACTTTAATTAAAAGTTCAATGCCATATTGAGCATGCATCAAATATGTTCTTTCTTTATTAGTCTTGGATTTCGTACCCTAAAAGGTTCGGTGAACTTCGGTGTTTGAAAAGATTTTTTAAAAAGTCAAAAATTACTTCCAATAAAATATATATTTTTGAATATATTTGAATAATTTTCTATAAGTATTTTGTACGATTAAAAGAGATTTTAAAGAAAGTTAGCTAAGAAGCTCTTGCACAGAAATCACAGAAAGCAAAAATAGAAGCACCGTCAAAACATGCACTTTAGAAATGAATCTATTCATTATGTTAATCTAAGATACCATAATCAAGTCCTTCGGTCAGTAGTGCAAAAGACAGTAGTGAGTTAGTCTTAATTGAGCTGACAGTCCAGTGTGAGAATTCGATTCCCGTCTCTTACAAGATATGAAATTGGACTCTTTGCGGTCACTAATAAGGCAATTCTTGTACCCTGACCTGCTGAGACATATCCCGTGGTTTACCTCCTCCACACTCCTCTATCTCTAGGGGCTGGACAGTGGGGACCCCAAGGCTAGGGTTCGACCTTTAAGATACACTAATCAAATCTTAGGCTTGTAATGCTCAAAATATATTTTGGAAATACCCTATACATTAGCATCCACTTAAATAAAGATTAATGATACTTAAAGCGCAAACTGGATCATTAAAATAAGAATAATTAAAAATTCATAAAAGTCCGTAGCTATCTTCTTTGCTCAGATAAAGAAGATTTGTAAATATTTCCATGTAACCGCCCCTATTTATGTAACACCATTACTTTTTGCTTCTGAATTTCAGACAGCACACCATCTGTGTTTCTTTCACAAAACAGAAGATTTATGCATATGCGAAGAGAAATTGATGAAACAAGAAATTAATAATTTCTCCATTAACATCCTCAGAAGCTTCATCATTCTAATGATATTAATAACTAATTAAACAAGATTAAAAACCTAGTAAGTAGTAGAAGAAGAAGAAGAGACTAAAGAACCCAGATTCCCTTTTTTTTCCCCTCTCTTTCTGGCTAACACTTATTAATCCATCAAAAGTTTTTAAGAAGACGACCCATTAGTACCACCAAGAACACGAGGACTGTTGCCACTGTTATCATGAAGGTGGTGCTGACTCAAATCTTGACCACGGATGTCAATGTTGCTGTCATTGTTGTTTTCCGGGTTGTGGTGGTGATATTGGATGGAAGTGGCAGCGGCGACGGTGGTGTCGGGCTCGACATTGGCGTTTGCGGTATCGAATGTGTCATTTCTACTGCTTATAGTACCATAGGCGATACCATTACCGTTGCCATTGTTGGTGGGTGGAGCAGTGGGAGAGATGACACTGTTAGATAACTGCTGATCTCTTTTGCCAAAAGTGGTCTTGTTGTTATGCATCCACACTTTGAATACCACTTTGTCGACACCAATTTCACTGCAGAATTCTGTGATCGAATCTTCATCTCTTTTCTGCATTTTCCACCCAACTCGCTCGGCGAACTGGAGCATCTTCTCCTTTTGATCTTGTGTGAACCTTGTTCTGAAACGCTTCCTGCCATTGGGATTTGAAGACAGAGGTGCAGACGTAGAGTTGGGAGTGGTGGAAATTGGTGTGTTGCTGTCAGGCGGTGGACCGGATGGGCCATGGCTGAGGGCCAGCAGCATGTGGGGTGCTGAGGGGTAGTAAGACGAAGAGATCGGTGGTGGGGAAGGTGAATTTGGGCTGCTGCTGTTCCCGCGATTCGCCGGCTGCGGCGGTGGAGGATGGTGACGATGGTGCGGCTGGTAGTCAAGAGCAGCTGTGGCGTTAGGTGGAAGTGGATCTTCCGGCTCACGGCGGTGGAAATTCCGGTGACATCCACACGCGGCGCATTTCAGCGAAGTAGGCTCAGATGGATTCGCAGTAGGTGATGGCATGAACTCTCCACAACCATCCACAGCGTGGCCACCCAAGCTCGCGGCGTGATTCTTCAGACATTCTTTGTAGTTCACAACCACCGGATGGTGGTTGTTGGAATTACCTTGATAAAGCTGCAGCGGCGCGTGCCTCTTCAACACGCCGTTGGTGAAAGACAAAGGCTTTGAATTGGTGGTCTGGATCCGAGTCGGCGTCTCATTCTCAGCTTCTGGTGTCTTAACAGTGGCTGTTGCAGTTGAATTGCCTAAATCCATGGCTGAAACATCAAAGGAAATTTAAATTTTGATGAACTCAGTTAGGCCTAGGGTTTTGAGAAAAAAAAAAAGAATAATCTTACTCCATGTGGGTAGAGAGGTAAACTGATAAAAGAGAAATGAAGAGATTACGGAAAGGAAGGAGAGGGCTGTGGGGTGGATGTAGTGATGATGAGTAGTGATGACTGTAGATAATAAAAAATCTTGACTATGTGGCTGTGCTTCTTAACCACTTGTTTTTTTTTTTTTTAACCCGGGTTCTAATCCACGGTTAACTTTGTTAGCGGACCCCACTGAGTCATAAATACGGGTTACACAAATTTTCAACCCCTTGTTCGACTCGCTTGAAAACTCAGTTGACTGCAATATCACCTTCAAATTTCTGTATTTTTATTTTTTTGGTTAATGGGGTTCGGGGAAATATTTTTAAAAAGAAAATAGAAGGAAATTAAAATTAGCAGGACAGAGTTGGGGTACAGCCAGGGTGAAACAGGAAATGTTGGTTCTTGGTTGCGTGAAAGTTACAATAATTTACCTTTTTGGTGTAAATAATCTGAAGCAGGAGCAGGAGCAGGAGGTGCAGCTGTGCTGTATTTACTGTACCCACCTAAATTTGTCAAAAATTTACCACTTCTCACCATCATTCAAACTCATGTTTGACCTAATTATTCAAAAAATCACTCTCTCAAATCTATTTGAAGCCCATGATCATTATTTGGAAAAAAATAATATTTTAAATAGTAATTTTTAAATACTGTTATTTAGGGTCTGTTTGATAGATATTATTTTGGAAGAGTATATTTTGAAATAGTAGATTGATGGAGAATGTGCGGTTGAAAAAGAAGAAAAAGTTATTGATGTGATGAAAAATATTATTTTAATGAAGAATGTATGGTTGAAAATGAGTAGAAGAATGAAAATGAAAATTTTAATGGGTACCAAACACACCTTTAGTGTTGATGAGATTATAACCTCAATTTATAAAATATAAAATTGAATGCCTCATTTACTTGTATTTATAATTTAATATCATATTAGTGCCACATGAACTGGTTTTAACCCTGGTAGGGTTGAATAGCACTTCTCGTGATTTTTAGAAGAATGTATGATTAAAAAATAGGAAATTTTTTAAATTTATGTACATAGTATTTTATCGTATGCGAACGTGTAGTTAAAAATTAGTATATAAAAAAAAGGTCTTCAGATAATAGTTGTCAAACAAAGGCTAAATGACATATTCTTCTCCCAATAAGGTAATTTAATACATAAATTCAAACTTTTTCTAATTTTTCAATCACATACACTCTAAAAAATTCAATATTTTGAAATCTATTAACCCTATAATGGGGTTCGAACAGGGCTAATACTCATTGATTTTTGTTATGAGCATGCGTCTACTCCCACCACACTTGTATTATTTTCGACGAGGAGTTGTAAAGTACCCTTCATCCAACTTGATGGAAGTGAACGGTGTAGTTTGATTGACTCAATTTTTTTAATGATTTTGATTTTTAGAATCTAGAATCGTTTTGTTTTGGTCCTGATTCCGGAATCAAGCACAAGAACTATGATCCGAAGCTCACTCAATTTCCATATTTTTTTTTTAAATATGAAGCCAATTTCTTTGTGTGTAATGAAGTCATTTAATCAAATTTTCATTTATAATTTGAAAATCTTGATTAGAAACTAGAATCAAATTAGAACTAAATGATTTGGTTCTTGTTCGATTCTATTATTATATATCGAACCAATGAATCTATCGTATTTAAAAAATAAAAAATAAAATAAAAAATCATTGGTTATTGATTAGGAGTTGAAATCAACTTGAATCATGCTTACCCCTACTAATAAATGAGTTGTCGGAAACTTTTAACCACTGTTTGTGCAGATTAAAATAAGATTTTTAGTAATTTAAAATAAATGATGAAATATGTGTTAAAAAATAGAAGATTTCATAAAATGTATTGTTAAAATTAAAAACTTAGTGGCAAAATTATTTTTAAGTGTCGGGGTTGACTATATCATACGTAACTGAATTTAAAATTTATTTATCGATTTGTTTGAGAGTTTTGTCGTGTTAATTAAAAAATATATATAATCGTAACCACTTTGATCCCCTGTTGAAGTGTACAAATAACAATTTCCTACGTTGGACGTAGGATTTTTTGGAACTTACTGCATGGAACACGCGTAATTTATCTATTAATTAAGCACGCTTTATGTTGGTAAGCATTCTTAATTCACAGCCACGTGTACTAAATAATACCCGTCGTAATTTCCTGTTCTTAATTAATCGACACGTTTCCCATTCCTCACCTCTTGAATATTTGCATGAATAATGCTACTTACAGTAGTTCGTTATCGTAATCGTTCTATGTGAATGTTTAGTGATTTGATACACGAGACAATAAAAAATTAACACATCAAATAACAAATCGTTCATGTATGATACGTAAGACAACTGCGATAATGAACAACTGTAAATAATATCACTCTATTTATAAATAATAAAATATGGAATTTAAAGGTTGGAAAGTAAAAACTGAGCAATTGAATAATTAAGTCCATGTATTTTAGAGAAAAATATATTTTAGAATAATGTGTGTTAAAATTATAAAATTTAAATTTATATATAATGTTATCTCTTCTATATATAAAGTGGCAAGCCACGTGTACTAAATAATACCCGCCGTAATTTCCTGTTCTTAATTAATCGACACGTTTCTCATTCCTCGCCTCTTGAATATTTGCATAGATAATGCTATTTGCAGTAGCTCGTTATCGTCATCGTTCTATATGAACGTTTTTGATACACGAGACAATAAAAAATTAACACATCAAATAACAAATCGTTCATGTATGATACGTAAGACGACTACGATAATGAGCGGCTGCAAATAATATCACTCTATTTATAAATAATAAAATATGGAATTTAAAGTAGGGCTGTCCGTGGGTCGGTTCGGTTCGGTTCTGAAGAGACCCGAACCGACCCAAAACTTAAGGTATTTAATAAATGGATCCGTCGGGTCCAAATATAATTATGGAACCGTTCGGATTCGGTTCCGTACCATAATTAATATTTTTAATATTTACAGTAACAATATATAAATACAACTAATGACATTTCATTCGTAACTTTTACAAATTAACGAAGCCCAATTCAAAAACATATAAATAACCAGCCGTCCGATAAGATTAATTCAATGCATACAAATATCAAAAAGTAGATATTAATATTACAGCAACATTACATAAAATATATTCATTTGTTTCAAATTAAAATGGGCTAATGAGTTTTAAAAATGATTTGGGTTTTAAAATTAAAATTATGAAATAATCTGATTTATTTAATTAATTTGCTAATTTGTTTAGAAAAAAATAAAATAATTTAATTAATCAAATATAAAAAATAAAAAAATTATTCAGTTTCGGTTCTTCGGTTCTTGGTCTAGATCCGAGACCCGACCCAAACCCGTCGGTTCTCGATTCGGGTACCCGTTCGGATATTTAATTTATGAAGAACCGCTCGGTTCGGTTCGGTTC